TTTTTTAAATACATTTTTTACATACATTTTTTACATAAAAACACAAATACGATATCTGTTTGACTTTCTATCAATTATAATAAAAAAATAAATCTATATGTCTTGTAACATTCCTTTAGGTTGAGAAAATCCAGTGCTGGTACTTACCGATATTGTTGCTGTGAGATGCAGATCAGACCCACAGTATATTTTTTGCATTGATTTATATAAGCTGACTTGTGTGTTAAATAAACCAACCACAGATTTAAAGTTATTGAATATTAATTAATGTAGTTGGTGATAATTTTAGACTTACTTCATTTGGGAGCTTATCCACTGGGCAAAAGAAAATGCTGTTATGCAAAATAAATGCTATGCTTTTAATGTATTGCATATTAAATATTTCATAGTTCTATACATTCTGGTTTATTCATTTTTTTACTTTATATGTTGTCTATACAGTTAAAAAAAAATGTTCCTAGGATGTTTTTATTTGAGTAAAAGGAAAGTAAACATCAAAGCAAATCAAGCACTTTAAATAATATTATAAAAATAAATAAAGTCTATGGAATTAATGGCAGAGTTCTTGATTAGATCATTCTACGTATTAAGTATCTCTAGCATAAATAGAGATCTGAAAAAATTATGTTGGGCAATGCTATGCCAACGTCTCTTGTCAGCCATACAAGTGGAATGATTTTTAAATCAAATAGATCAATAACTAGGGATGTGCATGGGCAAAAAATTTAGTTCGGTGCCAGTAAAAAAATGTGGCACTTCGGCAATTCAGCAGTTTGGTTCGGCACTTACGAAATGCGGAACTTCGTCAATTCGGAACATCTGTAGGGCTCCCTAATCCTACCCCTAATCCTAACCGTAATCCTAAACCTATCCCTACCCTATATACCTAACCCTACCATTACACCTAACCACGGCAACCACTTACACATCTATAGGGCTCCCAGTGCTAGGAATTAGCTTATTGGTCAAGATTCCTGTCATCATTCATGTAATTTTTCCTACCTCTTTTGTTTTGCCACTTTTCGGAAATCCGAAGCACTTCCGAAATTCGTCACTTTGGCAATTTGACACTTGGAATTTGGAATTGTAACTTTCCTAATTAAGATTCACTATCCTTAAGTCAATACATCTGGATCTTTATCCCACCTGCAGGAATTGAATTTTTATAACCATATATTCCTTAGCTAATTATGATTTCTAATAATTGAAATCTGACCAACGTTTATCCAGATATATCTTCCTGCTATTACCCAAAAATGTATTAAGCTTAATTAAATTAACTAAAATCCAGCATAATTACCAGTTATGTTATCGAATTTTCCTTTTTCAGGTTTGGATATGTATCCCATAAATGGTAAATGCGAGTATGATGAGAGTTGTGGGAAAAGTAGAAACGTTTTCAGAGTATAGGTTTGGCTCCAGATGTCAGAAATTAGATGTTAGGTGTAAGTCCATCCTCAGAGTGAGAGTGTATCTGAGTCTGACTGAGTCTGAGTGTTAGAGGATGATCATCCACACATTCGGTGTATATCTATTGTATCTAATAAAATTTATGTTTGCATTTGTGTCACTATACCCCACTCCCTTTAGCATATATGATCATTGAGCAGGGTCCTCAATTCCTTCTGTTCCTACACATCAAACATGTCTGGTTACATATACGTGTCTGTTAGTCCACCCATTGTACAGTGCTACGGACTTCTTGGTGCTTTATTGAGAGCGTAGTGGATGCATAGAATAGCCTTCCAGCTGAAGTGGTAGAGGGTAATACAGTAAAGGAGTTTAAGCATGCGTGGGATAAGCATAAGGCTATCCTAACTATAAGATAAGGCCAGGGACTAATGAAAGTATTTAGAAAATTGGGCAGACTAGATGGGCCGAATGGTTCTTATCTGCCGTCACATTCTATGTTTCTATGTTTCTATGCTACTCCTACTTTTACCCTTTGTGTCAGTATACCCCACTCCCTCTAACGTGTAAGCTCATTTGGCAGGGCCCTCAACCCCTCTGTTCCTGTGTATCTAACTCGTCAGGTTACATTTACGTGTCTGTTAGTCCACCCATTGTTGAGTACTGTGGAATTTATTGGCACTTTATAAATAATAATAACCATGGGAACTCTGCCCCATACACAGCAAACTGCAATGCACTGTGATGCACAGACACCTTTATATCATGGTCAGCATTATGTTTTTCCCCAATTTGAGCTGCATAGCTCTTCTGTGTGATTGGATCAGAGAGACTAGCTTTGTTCCCCACATGCATCAATGAGCCTTGGATGCCCATGACCATAATGTCTGTTTACCTCTTGTCCTTCCTTGCACTATTTTTGGTAGGTACTAAACACTGTATACCAGGAACACCCCACAAGATTTGCTGTTTTAAAGATTCTCAAACCCAATCATCTAGAAATCACGATTTGGCCCGTGTCAAAGTAACTCGGATCTTTTCACTTGCCCGTTTTTCCTGCTTAGAAAACATGACATTTAATAACTGACTGTTCACTTGCTGCCTAATATACCTCACCCTTAACAGGTGCCATTGTAATGATATAATCAATTCATTTAACCTTGCAGTGGTTTTAATGTTGTGGCTGATCAGAGTAAATGTACTTTGGCATTTGGGATAGAGTGTATTTAACTTATTTTGCTTTTGTTTTATGTATTTGGGCTGATGATTACTGTAGCCATTGCTGCCACCCAGGAGTGGTAGGAGTTTTCGCACATGCCTTATTTCTGTTTCCTTTTTTGCATTTATTTTTACACCGCCATGTTACTCTGCTGCTGCCCACCCCAAGCATGCTTTTTAGGGGTTAATTAGCCTGAACAGGGTTTATACAAATATCATTTTATGTTTAATTTATTTACTCACCTTTTCCCAGCGGTGCTGGATCAACTCTCCACCCCCTTGATGTCCTGCGACAAGCGGACGCTATTGCACATGCGCGGCAAAAGCCGCTCGTGCATTAGACCACCCCATTAAATCAATCTGACACTGCAAAGCGTAAGGATGTCCAGCACCAGATACCGGACCAAAGGTCCATTTCAATCCAGGAGGCCGTCTATTGGCTGTCTGGTAGACAGCCACTGGAACTGCAATGTTTAACATTGCACCACTACATGCAAAAGGGACACTGCACACAGACCACTTCAATGAGCTGAAGTGGTCTAGGTGCCTATAGTGTCCTTTTAATCACCAAAACAACTTTAGCTTGATGAAGCTGTTTTGTTGTTTAGATCATGCCTTTGAAGTTTCACTGCTCAATTCACTGCCATTTAGAAGTTAAATATCCTTTGTTTCTGTTTATGCAGTCCTAGCTACACCTTCCCTGGCTGTAACTGACACAGCCTGCATGAAAACAAAATGGTTTCATTTTCAATCATATCTAACTTTCTTAAAAAAAGAATTATCTCCTGCTCTGTAAATTGAATTTTAATTACATACAAGAGGTTCATGCAGGGTCTAGCAAGCTAATAACAAAGCTGGAAATAATAAATTCTAAAATAAACATAATTTGCAGTAAAGGAATTCTAAACATTAGATTACTCTTTACAAGAAGTGTTTAGGAAGGCTTTGCAAGTTACATGCAGGGAGGTTGTATAAACAAAGTGTATTAACTCCTAAATGGCAGAGAATTGAGCAGTGCAAATGCATTATTTATACACCAAAACTGCTTCATTAAACTAAAATTGTTTTGGTGACTATAGTGTCCCTTTAATAAATAGCCAAATGTATTATTTTATTTAGCTCTATTACAATCACTTTGCAGTTTGTGTCAAAATTCAGAATTTTTATATAGTATACTTTTACCATTGATGTTATTATTTAGATACATGGAATATCAATTATTAATATTAAATACATATTATGCAGTACACCGATAGGCACATTTTCCAGGATTTTGGGTCACAGATAAAGAGAGAAAAAGTAACCAATAGATGAAAAAAAAGGAAGAGCAGCTAAAAAAAAACCCCTTTATTTATATACTATATACCTATAAACTACAGAGCAGTAGTAGTGGAATTTGGGAATTAGAATGATCACTACATCGGACCAAATTCTGGAAAATTGCAGTTCGTAACGATATGAACAACATGTCTGATGCTCAAGTCTAGAGTCCAATCAGTAAGAATGAAAGATGTGAGATGTATCACTCTCTAGATCTTCTTCCCTAGATGTCAGCATTGTCTTTCTACAATGTCAGTGTCATGTCACTAGTTTACACATGCTGAAAAGTAAGTTTTCACAATGAGCATTTAGGGAAGATCCACAGATACTTTAAGACCTTTCGTACATTGTGTCAGGCATGAAGAGCGTGAGGTCATATACATTAAATTATCACTGTAAAGGCTGTTGAGGTAACACAACAGGGAATTCCAACTTGGCATTTGTTCAAATACATATGTAAGTTAAAGTTCTTTATTTTTCTGTTTTTGATTTTTTTACTTTGCGGTAACTAAATTTAAATGACACATTTTTGCATGACATATGCTCTTTACCATGTAGACTTTTACATAAATAAAATATGTTATACACTTTTCACCTGAAATATTAATTTCAATTTGGTCATAACTAAATTGAATAAGATCTTTGGAGGTCTTAGCATTTCTTTAATATAAGGTACAAATATTTTTCCATTGTAAAAATCTAAGTTTGGGCTTCAGTGTTCCCGCATACTTGTCTTTCCAGAGCTAATTCTGCTCAATAGAAACAGCTGAAAAATCTTTACTCTTATTTCTCGCATTTTCAATCCATAGATTAATGGGTTTAGAAGTGGTGGCACCACAAATGCCTGTACTGACATAATAATTTTTAGGTCATAAGGTAAATGTTGTGGTCTGAAACGGTGGAGAAGTACTTCAAAAAGTATGTCAGCAACGTAGTTTATCATGGTGATCAGATGAGGGGTGCATGTCTTTAAAGCTTTCGCTCTGAAGTCTTTTGAAGAATTGGCGCATACTCTCAAGATCCTAATATAGGAGGCCAAGATTAGAATAGGCATGCCCACAATCATTGCTATTGTGATGAAGAGACCATATATATTGTTCACAGTTGTATCAATACATGATAGATTAACTACAGAAAAATTGTCACAATAAATTTTGGGAATAATTTTACCACACAAAGGAAGTCTAATTGTCAGCATAAGGTGTATAGTGAATGGAACAATGTTAAGAAACCAAGCCCCAATTATCAGTGCGTAGGTTGTGGACATGGTCATTATATTGTTGTATATAAGGGGTTACAAATGCATAAATAACGATCTAACGCCATCACGGCTAGTAAAGCCATTTCACACCCTGTGTAAGTATGGATGCAAAACACTTGTACCAAACAATTAATATAGGAAATGGCTTGTGTTTTGGCAAGAAGGTTTACAAGCAGACTAGGGAAAAAAGAAATGCTACCATATAGTCCATTTACACATAGTGCAGAAATAAAAATATACATTGGTTCTTGCAAACTTTTATGTATCATTATTACATATATGACTACTCCATTTGATAGAATGATCATTATGAAGCCAATTAATGCTATGACAACATATATATATATCTCATCTCCATCATTTCTCCAAAGCTGAGCATCAGAACAGATGGGTTGACATGTGTAGTGTTTTCTGTCATTATGACCCTGGGTTATTGATATCTAAGAAAGCCAAAAAAGATAAATTAGATAAGTTATTAGCATTGTATTATAAATAATAGCCTGGTAGTATAATCATGTAATATGAGATTAGATATATATTATTTTAAAATACAAAGTTCTATGTGTGCAGCATTGGTTCTGGTTTCTATGACTTATCGTTCACTTATTAATATTAATTTTTCACATATGAAGATGTTAGCTGTACTACATCTTTGTGAAGCCTTTACTGTGCTCTGCTGTGCTTGATGACATGTGCAACTGTGTGATTGGAGAAATACTCCTAAGAGAAGTGTCATGTTCTAGGATTCCAATGTTATGTTTACTTATCCTCTATAGTTAAAGGGACATGTATATATATATATATATCTTTTTTTTTTTTTTAACCAGCATGTAAACACTTTCACAGAAATATAAAAACTGAAATAAAGCAGGAAAACATTGAATAGTATGTAATACATGTTTATAAATTTGCTACAAACGACACCAGTTTGTTTTCTCTGGCATGCCTCTGAGGGGTGTTTCTTAATTCCCCTACTATATCTTACCCTTATCTCATCCATCTACTAATACATCCATCTCAGTTTCATGTGAACTACTGCCAGCTATGCAAGAGAAGCTATATGCAAATCAGGGGAACAATAATGACACACTGATTACTTGCATCTCTGTATGCAGGAAAATGAAGATGGCAAAAGGTATAAATATGATTAAAATTTTACTTTTACTGACTTAAATAATATATAAAATCAACACTAATAAATGTGCATGTAAATAATCAATTTTACATCCATTTAAATAGCTGGATGCTCGTACTATCAAATCGTATCATAATTAGACAGGTTTTTATAATCATGTTGGGTTTTTTTCTAACTATTTTCCTTCAAAGTAATATCCAGCAATGAGTAGCTCACATTAAGAGTTGGTCAGCTCCAGGAATGATCCACTTGTCAGAAATGAACAACACTGCAGCACAAATGGACCACCTACTAGCAACAGACTCCCACCCTGACTGGCTAACACAAGGCAGTACAATACTGGTCATGAAGGAACCTCACAAGAGAACATCACCATCTAACTACCAACTACCAACCAATCCCCTGCCCCCCCACAACATGGAAGGTCATGTCAGGCATCACAGCCTCCAAGATCCAAAGTCATAATAGTCAGTGCATGAGCAATATTCAAAGGGAGATTGGAAACAACACCAGAGGCTCAAAACACCAACTGTTGGTAGACAAGCAGTCACACAGGATTCTAAAACCAGGCAGACCAATCTGTGCACAGCCTGCATTGATTACAAAAAGCCAATGTTGCAATGTCACACAAATACAGGGGTCAAGTCCTGGGGAAAAAAGTGTGGGAACTCACCCAAGATTCCCGCCTCCACCCCCCCCCCTTAAAAAAATTACACTCCTATGCATATAGTGCAGTGCAGGGTGTGTATAATGAATGTAGTGTGTTTGTAGTGAATGCAGAGTATGAATAATAAATGTAGTGTGTTTGTAGTGAGTGCAGTGTGAATAATAATTGTAGTGTATTTGTAGTGAGTGCAGAGTGTGTATAATGAATGCAGTGTGTTTTTAGTGAGTGCAGAGTGTGTATAATGAATGCAGTGTGTTTTTAGTGAGTGCAGAGTGTGTATAATGAATGTAGTGTATTTGTAGTGAGTGCAGTGTGTATAATAAATGTAGTGTATTTGTAGTGAGTGCATTGTGTATAATAAATGTAGTGTGTTTGTAGTGAGTGCAGTGTGTATAGTGAATGCAGTGTGTATAGTGAATGTAGTGTTTTTGTAGTGAGTGCAGAGTGTGTATAATGAATGCAGAGTGTGTATAGTGAATGTAGTGTGTTTGTAGTGAGTGCAGAGTGTGTATAACGAATGTAGTGTGTTTGTAGTAAGTGCAAATTGTGTATAATGAATTTAGTGTGTTTGTAGTGAGTGCAGAGTGTGTACAATGAATGCAGTGTATGTAGTGTGTTTGTAGTGAATGCAGAGTGTGTATAGTGAATGTAGTGTGTAGTGAGTGCAGAATGTGTATAATGAATGCAGAGTGTGTATAGTGAATGCAGAGGGTGTATAGTGAATGTAGTGTGTTTGTAGTGAGTGTATAGTGAATGTAGTGTGTTTGTAGTGAGTGAAGAGTGTGTATAATGAATGCAGTATGTGCATGTGCTGGATGATGTGTGTGTGCGCGCTGGATGACGTGTGTGTGAGTGCTGGATGATGTGTGTGTGAGTGCTGGATGATGTGTGTGTGCGTGCTGGATGATGGGTGTGTGCGTGCTGGATGATGGGTGTGTGTGTGTGCTGGATGATGGGTGTGTGTGTGCGTGCTGGATGATGGGTGGGTGTGTGCGTGTGCTGGATGATGGGTGTGTGTGTGCTGGATGATGGGTGTGTGTGTGCTGGATGATGGGTGTGTGAGTGCTGGATGATGGGTGTGTGAGTGCTGGATGATGGGTGTGTGTGTGATGTGTGTGTGAGTGCTGGATGATGGGTGTGTGTGTGCTGGATGATGGGTGTGTGAGTGCTGGATGATGGGTGTGTGAGTGCTGGATGATGGGTGTGTGAGTGCTGGATGATGGGTGTTGGGGAGGGGGGAAGCATTTTTTCTTACTTTGTGTTTAATATTTATTTTATTCCCCCCTCCCTGCTTCTTACCTTGTCAGGGAGGGGGGAGATCGCCTGGTGGTCCGGGTGGAGGGAACCAGCCGCTGCACAGAGGGGCCATCACACGCTGTGTTCCCTCTCCAGCTCTAACTCTCGCGAGACTCGCCTGTGCGGAGCGTTGCCATGGTAACAGCCGCGGGTCTCGCGAGAGTTATAGCTGGAGAAGGAACACAGCGTGTGATGGTCCCTCTGTGCAGGTAGCAGGGCCGGTCCTGCAGGACAGGTAACGGGAACGGCGTTCCTGCTTTGGAAAAAGTGCAGGAACGCCGTTCCCATGCGTTCCTGCAGGACTCGAGCCCTGCACAAATATATATTTGAATGCTTGGCTCTATGCCTGGTTTTAACAAACAACGGTGATCTTTTGATCAACATTCAACTAGGTGAGCACTTGGGAAATAGTGATCACAATATAGTGTCCTTTGAAATAAACTAAAAAAAACAAAAGCACATGGGGTATACTAAAACATGTAATTTTAAAAAGGACAATTTCTATTAATTAAGGGCAGCATTACAATATATTGAGTGAAAAGAACACTGAGGATAAATGGAACATTTTCCAACAAATATTAGAAAAGTACATTTCTCGATATGTACCATTGGGAAATAAATATAAAAGAAACAAATTAAAACCAATGTGGCTTAGTAGAGAAGTAAAACAAGAGATTAAAAATAAGAAAAGGGCATTTAAAGCATTTAAATCAGACAAATCAGATGCATCTTATAAAAGATATAAGGATGCAAATAATGCTTGCAAAAAGGCGATTAGATTTGCTAAACTTCAAAATATAAAAATGATAGCTAAAGAGAGTAAAACCAACCCCAAAGCATTTTTTAAGTATATAAATTCTAAAAAAACAAAAAATGAAAGTGTAGGTACACCAAAAACTCAAACAGGGGTGTTAGTTAATCAAGACCAGGAAAAGGCAGGACTTTTAAATAACTATTTCTCCTCTGTATATTTTAAGGAAGAACCCATGGAAATAGATGTGCAAATGATTGCTACTAAAAACTTGCAGAATAATTGTAATTGGTTAACTCAAGACAAGGTTCTACAGCAACTAAAGAAAGTTAATATAAACAAAGCTCCAGGGCCTGACGGTATCCATCCACGAGTACTTAAGGAACTAAGTGTAGAAACAAGTGAATCTTTCAAGATTCTTTTCTTTCAGGAAGTGTTCTGGAGGATTGGAGGAAAGCAGATGTGGCTCTTATATTCAAAAAAGGGTTCAAAATCCTTGCCTGGAAATTATAGACCTGTGAGATTAACTTCTGTGGGTGGGGAATTATTTGAAGGGTTATTAAGGGATAACATTCAAGAATTCCTTGAGAAGAACATGGTTATCAGCAAAAATCAGCATGGTTTTATAAAGTACAGGTCATGTCAAACTAACTTGATTGCGTTCTACGAAGAAGTATGGATCAGGGTGTTGCAATGGATGTGATCTATTTGGATTTTGCTAAGGCATTTGATTCAGTTCCACACAATAGATTAGTGTTCAAACTCAAGGAAATCGGTCTAGATGAAAATTCTTGTTCTTGGGTAGAACATTGGCTTAAAAATAGAGTACAAAGAGTTGTCATTAATGGTAAATTTTCAAGCTGGACAGAGGTGGCAAGTGGTGTCCCTCAGCCTTCTGTTCTGGGACCCATTCTATTTAACACATTTATAAATGATCATGTTTCAGTGCTTGCAGATGACACAAAACTCTGTAAAATAATACAATGTGAGCAAGATATTACTTTGCTGCAGAGGGATTTAGATAGACTGGGGGACTGGGGACGCAAATGGCAGATGAAATTTAATGTTGAAAAATACAAAGTTATGCACTTCGGCGTAAAGAATGCACAAGCAACGTATACCCTTAATAAAAGCGACTTAGGGATAACAACACACGAAAAGGACTTGGGAATTGTTATACACAACAAACTATGTGACAATATGCAATATCAATCAGCAATGACTAAGGCCAGTAAGGTATTGTCATGCATGAAAAAGGGCATTCATTCTCTGGATGAGAATATAATTTTGCCTCTTTATAAATCACTGGTAAGACCACATATTGAATATGCTGTGCAATTTTTGGCACCTGTTCTAAAGAAGAATATTATGGCACTAGAAAAAGAGCAGAGACAGGCTACAAAATTAATAAAAGGAATGGAACATATCAGCTATCAAGAAAAGGTTAACAAATTTAAACCTATGTAGTTTAGAAAAACATCGCCTGAGAGGGGATATGATAACACGATACAAATATATTCTGGGCCAATACAAACCATTGTGTGGAAATCTATTCACAAGCC